TAAACGAAGATTGACGAAGTGACGTACCAAGATGCTGTAGACAAGGAGCACACGGAGCAGCGCGGCTCCATCAACATCGTTTCGTCCAACGCGGAAAAGTACATCGCTATGATGTGGCGGCAGTTCGTGTTCATCGACTCGTACGCTTTTCTGAGCACTTCGCTAGATAAGCTTGCGAAGGCAACGCCTCGAGAAGCGTTCGTCCGCATGCGTGATCTGCATGGGGAAGATCCCGAGAAGACGGATCTTCTGCTTCGGAAAGGTGTATACCCGTACGAGTACATGGACTCGTTCAGCTGCTTCGACGAGGAGAGTCTCCCCCCACGGAGAAGTTCTACTCGTCGCTGTCCGAGGCACACATCACCGATGACGAGTACCGTCACGCGCAAACTGTCTGGAACAGGTTTGATTGTGTCACTCTGCGTGATTGTCACGATCTTTACCTGAAGACGGACGTGTACTTGCTGGCGGATGTATTTGAGAACTTCCGCACCACCGCCATCGCCACGTACTCGCTGGATCCGGCCAACTACTACACGCTGCCCGGGTTTGCGTGGAGTGCGCTGCTCAAGGTGTCCGACGTCAGTCTGGACCTGCTGTCTGACGTGACGATGCACACGTTCATCGAGCACGTATAAATATATAGCCCTATATATTTATTTTTCGTAATATTTCATCGTTTGATTTATTTTTCGTAATTTTTCATCGTTTGCAGCTGCAACACTATCGTCATACAGATGCGCGTGTGAATGCACATGTGCATCTTACCTGGTGATGAGCATGACCCTCCCTCCGATTGAATTGTTGTATAAATTCGTGCAAGGTAAGTAAGTACAGGTCGTCCCCCGTTAATACGAGTCCGGTTAGTACATAAACCCCGTTAGTACATAAGAAATCTCAAGTCCCGGACGAAACGTGGTCACTTCCATACAAATTTTGTCGGTTAGTACATAATTCGTTAGTACATAAACCCCGTTAGTACATAACATTTCTCCGTACCCGCATGCCACCTACCTCAATAGTACATAATTTGTTGGTCTCTTGGCCTTCCAGTGCAGGCACATCGTGTTCTAGTTTCTACTTGTGGAGCTCAGAAATCAGAGCGCACATCACAAACCAACAAAGCTCTGTTTTTTCCCGAGTGACTGTACAGGCGCGAATGGGAATGTATGATGTAATCTGTAGAATCTTCGCTAAATGTGACCGTTATAACATAATTTTTATGTTATATCGAGGTAATCAAGAATATCTCGCTGCCTAGTCATGGTAGCAAGAAACACTCAGAAAAGTTGAAAAAAGTGAAAAATTCTAGTACACAAGCAAGTTATGTACACTTTCGTTTAGTACATAAACCCCGTTAATACATAACATTTCTCAAGTCCCAGAGATTATGTATTAACGAGGGACGACCTGTATATGTTATCGCATGGTTGCAAGGGCCTTATGGCATATTATTGCCCCGAGAGGTTAGCCCGAGGGCCGTAGGCCTGAGGGCTAACCTCGAGGGGCAATAATATGCCATAAGGCCCGCAGCAACCATGCGATAACAAATTTATCACATGGCCCACAGAGCAGACCATTGGGCTGCTGTTGAAATTAGCCCAAATGCCAACACATTATGACCACAATGTATATAGATGTGCTATCATCAAAACAGGAAAAATGAAGATATTTCTCCTACACCCTAACAAAAAGTCTGCTACAGGCCATCAGAGAGTATACAGTACTGAAAGACGAAGACAGAAAAAAAGTGCCGGCACCGCATCGTCATAGCAATAGACATGGCAACGACAATAAAATACAGCAGAATCATAATTTCAGTTGAAAAATTAAGAGTGCTACCACAAAGAGTTTCTTCATGTTTACATGTGTATCAGGAAGTTGTCAAATACAGTACTGGAACAAGTGCAAGTATTTGACGACTCCCTGGTGTGTAATTCTGAGGACAATTTTTCTTCTTTTTTTCAGCTCCAGATAGCTGTATTTTTCATTGCAAAACATTCCTGAATTGTTGTGTTTGTTGTTCAAGCAAAGGTGAAGCTCGAAGGCAGAGGACAGATGAGCCTGGTAAGAGTTTTGCGTGGCACATGAAGGCCACACACAGGCAGTGACTTTGCGAGGATTTGAAAACGCACGACGCTGAGTTGAATTTGTGTTATTTCAAATAATAGTTTGTGATCACAGTACCACTTCGAGCAGAACTGAATCTTATCCACAAGCTTACCGACGGTCAGGCTGCCAACATGACTGAACAAATGATCCCTGCAAGCACCACACGGCAGACGTCCGAGGCCATGTCCATTGCCGGGATGTCCATCTCCAAAAAGAATTCCATCTTTGTCTCAATGCTACACTGCGACTCGTCGTAGAGTCGTACAGTCTACAGAGTCGTCGTAGTCACGCGATCACTGAAATAAACTATTTTTTTGCGGGCAAATAAACTATTTTTTTGCGGGCAATATCGCATATTATTGCCCGCAGCGCGAAAGGTGCTGATTCGCTGGAGTACGGGCAACAATCACGTGCCATGTGATAAAATAGTTTACTAAGGCTTGCTGTTAGGTAAATCGGGGGGAGGATTTTTTTCCCCAACTCTCCAGTACCTGTAGACACGTAGGGGTCCGAGTACGAAATGAACGATGTTCGTTTCAGGGACGACAGAAAACTTTTGCGACAACCCTAAGGCTTGCTATTAGGTAAATCGGGGGGAGGATTTTTTCCCCAACTCTCCAGTACCTGTAGACACGTATGTGGTGGTGATTGGGTTATTACGGTCGTCATCAAAAAGTTGATGGGGGTTGCGATGGTAATTGTGTTAGCATTACGATAGGATCTGTACACATAACAACAAGATTTGCTAATAGGGTATATAGGACCTGTACACACATAAGATGAATAACGATAGGATCTGTGCACGTAACAACCAGATTTGCTAATAGGGCATAATTATAGGACTTGTACACACATAAGATGATTATTAGGGTTTGCTGAGTGTTGTTGTTGTCGTTGTGATCTGTAGTACATGCACACATAAAAAGAGTAGAGTTGACATGGTAATAGGATTGTTATGGTGATAGGGTGACGAGGGCTACTAGGGTTATCGTCTCTCGAAATATTAGGGTTATTGTCGGGTTTATAGTCACCAGAAATATTAGGGTTATCTTCATGGTGATAGGGTTATCAGGAATATTAGGGTTATGGCCATGGTGTTAGGATTATTAGGGTTATTGCCATGGTGATAGCCCTAGGGTTATGGTGTTATCAGAAATATTAGGGTTATCGCCATGGTGATAGCCCTAGGGTTAGGGTTATCGTCATGTTGATAGGGTTAGGGTTATCATAATCATGAATATTAGGGTTATCGTCATGGTGATAGCCCTAGGGTTAGGGTTATCGGCATGGTGATAGGGTTAGGGTTATAGGGTTATGGTCATGGTCTTATCAGGAATATTAGGGTTATTGCCATGGTGATAGCCCTAGGGTTATGGTCATGGTGTTAGGGTTATCAGAAATATTAGGGTTATCGCCATGGTGATAGCCCTAGGGTTAGGGTTATCGTCATGTTGATAGGGTTAGGGTTATCATCGTCAGGAATATTAGGGTTATCGCCATGGTGATAGCCCTAGGGTTAGGGTTATCGTCATGGTGATAGGGTTACCGGGATTATTAGGGTTAATATGCCCCGATTTAGGGTTAAATCATGAAATTTAGGGTTAAGGTGGCAGACTACCCAAAAATTCGCTGAAAAATCGAATTTGTAAATTCATATTGAGTGCTACGTCAGTTGAAAGAGCATGAATAGCTGGAAATTCTCTGAAAATTGTGTCCCGATCGGCCGTTCAAGAGTTATGGCCGAAAATGTGCCCTTGCAAGGAAAGATTTTTTTTTTGCACGCTGTCATTTGTTGGCAGCACTGTATTTGAATGTGAGCAGACCGTGCGCAACTTGTCGTATCATGGAAACACGTGAAAGTGTGCAGAAATTTGCTCCAAGTCCAAAAAATCAGGTTTTTGAGCCACGTATTGGGCTGCACGGCGGCGGGCGAAGCCCGCCGCCGTGCAGCAGGACTTTTGCCAGCACCCTCGTGACGTTGCAGATATGTGGCTTGATTATTGTAGTTGACGTTGATTTAGTGACTTTGGCAAGTTTGAGTCGTGTCAAGAAGTCAGGTAGGATTCAGTACTAGGCAGTAGTAAAACGTGAGTGGTAGTCTTTGCCGGTTTCTGAGGGTATCCTGGATTTGGTGTGCAGCGCTGTGGAAATGGCTTGCTGTGGAGGTCCCAGCACTGGATGTTGTTTCAAAGGTACGACCTCGTAGCACGTGCTAAACCTAAAAAATTTCAAAAATTGACTTGGGTCTGTGGGAGTGTGTGAGAGAACGCCCACTCGTTCCGTTGTGACAGATTCCAGGGCCTCGTTGAGGGGCCCTACCCCATCACCCATGGCTGCTTCTGGACTTGTTCTAGGTTTGAGTCCCGCGCACGAACAGAATGAGCACGAAAATGTGAAAAAATTGTAAATGCATTTGTTTGGCTCCTGGGTGGCTCGCACACCGTGGCACTATGCCGGAAATTTGAGTTTTTCCGGCCTGGAAAGCCTGTCAGTGAGGCGCAAGAACTTGTAAATCATGTCCTGAGGGCCAGCATAGTGGCAGGAGCGTGTGGTCAAAATTTCACTCAAATCCATTGAGAAACACCAAAGTTACGGTCAATTGAATGCCATATGAAATTTATGGGTAGGCTGCCCCCTTAAAAGGCCCCGGTTATTAGGGTTACATCCCATTACGTCATCTATGACGTCATGTGTAAAACGCTCCGATTTTAGGTTAAATCGCAAAATTTTACGGTAAATCGCAAAAATTTACCGTAAATCGCAAAAATATTAGGGTTAAAACGCCACGGTTTTTAGGGTTAAATCGCTATGACGTCATCGATGACGTCAGTGAGTTAGAACGCCCATTCTACTTACCTCAACATCCGAGTTTCAAAGTGCATATTTACCTAATTGATTGGTGTGTCGACAGCATGGCGCATGATAATGGATCTCTTCAGCAGCACCTGGTGGAAGTATGCTTCTCTCAAGATACATCTGCTTGTGAGGTGAGCCACCTAAAGATGCGTCTATAATATACAAAAAAACACGACACAATACTCATGCTTATAAACTACTACAGAGCACACACAGCGCAGATCTTACTACTGTGACAAGTTAAATCAAGGCATCTCGGTAGGACTGGGAAATGATGACCTCAGAAGTCAATAGTATTTTTAAAATATCGAATCTAGGTCCAAATTGCATCCACCCTGACCATGGTGATGTACAGCATTGCATGGCAGGCTTCTCAGATCGCACACCATTATGACATTTCCATTATTTATGCTTCCAGCATTGGCCTAGAAGTCATAAGGTTCCAGTCTAGTCAATGAACAAACACAGAACACTAAGAAAAGCCTGCAATTCTCACCGATCTCCTGTCGTCCATCTTCCAGCACGAGCTTCCTCATTTGAACGCTTCGTTCCTTGTAGCCCATATCGTGTATGATGTCACACAGGGCCAGATACCCTTCCAGTTCTCTAGCACTAATTAATCCAATTATGTCTTCGTTGTGGTGACTTGGGCCATCTCGATCCAGAGAACGCTTCAGTCGATCGATTGAGGCTAGGGACCTGATCAAACCTTTCTGCACAACTTTCGTTCTCAATTCAGCAGGCGGTAGCTTGGCGAACCATGGCAGGATATCCGACAGAAACACTTTATTATCAAAAGGGTTTTCTGCAATACATGGAAATACGTGCATGCATGCACATCAATGGGCATACACCCACATGGACAGACATACATACATGCATGCACACGTGCGTGCGCGTGGTTAAATCACAAATGACACGAATGTTGATGGCTGTTCGGTTGAAAACTCTTTTTCAACCAACCATCCATCTTCGTAGAATGCACAGTCGGATGTACCCAGTGTGCTAAGAATGCTCGAACGCTGCAACGACGGAGTGCAATGCACAGTACAACAGTGGAACAAGGTATCAGGCAACATCGGGATACTGCTTGCCACGCCAGTATAATTATATGCCATGGAAAAAGATTTTAAAAAAGACTGGAGGTGCACATGGCTCCCATTGTTTGACTCTGCACGAATACACACGGTGTACACATGTCGATTCAGCTCGTCTTATTCAGGACCGCTGAAAGCAGTTTTCAATAGACCCTTTGCACAATAAGCGAGAGGGGTCGAGACGGGGCATGCTGTGCACGCGCTGCACACTTGGCATGCAACCAGCATGCATGGTTTGCTGCAGGACGTGATCAAGTTTCCTGTGACAGGCTGTGTTTTCACGGTCCTGACGCGATGTTCATGTATGTACTTCCCAGCCTTTTTCATTTGAAGTTTTTTTAGTTCTGAAGGAAGAAGTTCCGAAATGCTTTCCAAGGACCACTGTTGGGTTCTTGTTTGCAGCAAGCGTCATCCCTAGTGGCTAGTCTAAGAAACCCACTTGTCTTTCCATGCATTCCCTGGCTATGCTGGCATTAAACACTCTTGAATCCTCGCTATCTGGCGAGAAGAGGGCCGCAGTTTGCTGCGACATCGTTCACAGTGTTGTGCTCGGAACACTTTGTCGATGACGACTTTCATCCTTGCTTTTGCGAAGACGCTGAACGCCCTGCCAAGAGACTCTGGAGCCTGAGAAAAAGGCATGACCCATCCCTGTCTTTGCAAGGAAGATCGACTGCTTGCTGGCGCTGCTCGAGCTGCTGATGTTGAAGTGCAGAGCGACGCAGCCTCATCGCTCAGGTGTGCGGAGAAAGTCATCTAAGTTCGAGCTGTGGCTGTGTGCACGATATGACAGACGTTCACATTATGCACATAGCCACCAAAGTAAAACTCATGGACACTATCCACGGGCGTCTTCACTAGTACTACTCCATCAGCTCCCTAGCCCTCTTCACTGTCGTCGGCGACTTGCCCCTGCGTTGGAGATGAGCACGCATGGTGTGGCACTCACTCTGGGAAACAGAAGTTCATCACTCATCCACTCGGACGCATGACAAAGTTGGGCATGATGAAGGTACGCTCGAGGAAGACTGGTAACCCTCTTAGTTCTAGGAGCATCAGGGTTCTGCATAGAGAAGCGTTCTCTACATCGACAGAGGAGAGAAGGTAGAGAAAATGAAAATAAATTTCAATCTACAGTAATCCGAAATATCCACTGACTGCGGAAAACTTACCGCTCCAATAACTCCTTCTTTTTCGAGACAGATACGCACCCTCATTCAGCAGAAAACTGTTCAGTTCCTTCACAGACCATTCTTTATTTGACAGCTCCTCCACGGGTTCCACAGCCATCGATGGCAAACCACTCGATACTCTCTCCTCCATCTCCAAAATGGAAAAATACAGTGTTTCACCATGCTCAACAACTGATACTCTGCACAAAAATCGAAGAGGATGCCCCGTCTCGGATCACGTGACCGTTATTGTGCAAAGGGTCTATTGGTCCGGTTGTACCTAACCTTTCATACTTTGTGTCAGTTTAATCTGGGGGGGGGGGGGAGGTACATGTATAATCTGGGGGGGGGGGGAGGACGTACATGTATGCCTTCCTCAGCATTGCCAGTAGCTACAAAGTTGGTCCGGTGTTAACCTGACCAACCGGACGGGTTCCGGCGGGCCTGTTATTGATTGCGGTTTAAGAATGGAGGTGTTCTTCTTTGTAACAAGTCATATCTGCAACCATTATTTCCATAACAAAACATCAGTGTGAGATTCTGCAACCGGAGCTGCAGTGCAAGAACCTCCTACGCTACAAACTAATCTATGCAATGCACATTACACCCACACACACCTCGGTTCTCCGGACACCGAAGATACGAGCACTTCGGTCTACCGGCCACCATTTGGGCGAGTTTTAGTGAAAATATTACTACTCTTTTGTAACTTTTTGTGGAAATAGCGACGTCATATGTCTTGCTAATCGCCTTTCGCCATCAAAATGTATGTGATTCGGGGTAACGGACGCTTCGAAGTTACGGGCAGTGCCGGGTTCCGGACCGCCCAGGTAAGCGAGGCATGAGTGCACTTCAGAGTGCAATAATATCCACAGTCGCAGTGTACAGGACTTGACCACCCATATACGTAGTCATTTTCTTATGTTGGTTCATTATAAACTTATGATTAATTTTGATGCATACATGGCACTGTGACGCCGAGACCCATGGTCGCCAGAGTCCATGTATTTCATCAGCACAGCTATTAACTGGCAATGTGGATAGCGCCTACCCAGTCCAATGTACTTTTTGTCTTTCAACATGATTTGTAGGTTTGTGCTCTCTTAAAAAAATCAAAATCAAAATCAGCATGCTGGCGGTGGCGTGGTGGCATATTGGCATCCCTCTACCTTGGGAGAAATCTACTGCTACTACAGTGGTCCCTCTATAATCCGGCACCATTTGTGCCACGAAAATCTGCTGGATTAGGGAGGGTGCTGGATTAACAAATCTGATTTACTGCTGCAATGTGCATGAAGAGGACATTTTGGCTACTGAAAATTGTGCTGGTTTATCGAGGGTGCTGGATTATAAAGTGCCGGATTAGAGAGGGACGACTGTAACTTGGTACCTGATAGAGTTTTCATTTCTGGTCTGAAAGCAGAATTGTGCTAGGATTGTGGAGAATGCGAATACTGGCATCGCTCAGGTTCTGGCAGTACATGGCTTACACTAGCCATGTATCTTGTCAGTGGCTTTCATGCTTACACGTCACTGCAGGCATTACCGTATGACATGCAATTTTAGGCGTACGAGAGAGGTTGGAAGCTCAGGGCCCTACGCTATGCTTTTTTGTCTTGATGACCTAGACAAAAAAAGCATAGGGATAAATTCTTTAAAAAAATTCTTTTTTTTAAGACATAACCTGGGATTCGAACCCGCACTATCGCGCGCCCTGCATGCATCCCCCGATACACTTCGCATACATACTAATTCTTCCAAGTTGCTTCACGTTATGATCTTGCATTTGAAAGCCCTATTTGAATATGCATTGTGGCCAGCCGTCTTTGATGGTACGGTTCGGGATAGGTACGGGACAGGTACGATCGAGGGTAATACGACGCCGTCTACCGCCTTGATGACGGCAAAAAAAGCATTATGAATGTTATAAATTTTTCAATTCTCCTATTTTTTTTCAGGCATATCCTGGGATTCGAACCCGCACTATCGCCCTACATGCATTCCCCCATACACTTCGCATTCATACCCATTCTTCCAAGTTGCTTCACGTTATGATCTTGCGTTTGAAAGCCCTATTTGAATATTGCGGCCAGCTGTATGTGGCCAGCTGTGTTTGATGGTACGGTACGGTACGGGACAGATACAGGATAGCGCCAGGCGTGACACAAACAAACAAACAAACAAACACACAAATACCAAACGAGAGAGCTTGGAAGCTCAGGGCCCTGCGCTATGCTTTGTTGCCTAGCTCATCGTGCATGTTGTTAGAACTGATGGAAATGCTTTTTCCTTTGATTAGCTACATCATTGTATTGCAAAAACGTTTCAATGAGATACTGAAGTACAAGTAACGTCTTCTGCATAGCTATGGGACCGGCGCTGACTCTGCCGATCACGGGCGTTCTGGAGTCGACGGGATGTCTGTCCTGACGTTTCCTGGGACCGGCGCTGACTCTGCCGATCACGGGCGTTCTTCTTCTTATTATTATTATACTGACGGCAACTAACATCCATTCTGATTGCATTGACTCGTCTCCCTACTTTGTATTTTTTTCCAGAAAATCTCCCCATACAGCAGGGAGTCGTTTACATAATATGACTCCCTGCTATACATCTACATGACTGTATATACGTTATAATTATTATCATGCTATCGGCCTACATGCGATTCCCGGGCTGGTCGACAGGCGGCCCAGGCAGCCTGCTAGTGGGATCTCGGCCTCGCACACAAATCCACACAAAATGTTACTGCACTGAATGCATTCCCCTGATACACTTCGCATATACTTGTATACCCATTCTCTTGATGGTACCGTACTCTTGATGGTACGGGACAGGTACGGGATAGCGCCAGGCATGTCGATGGCACAAACAAACAAAAATTTTGTGGCCAGCTGTCTTTGCTGGTACGGTACAGATACGGGATAGCACCAGGCGTGACACAAACAAACAAACAAACAAACACCAAATTAAAGCTGTGTGGACCCTGGCTAGCGCCAGACGTTACTGAAGTAACGTCTTCTGCATAGCTACGGGAATTAAAGCTGTGTGGACCCTGGCTAGCGCCAGACGTTACTGAAGTAACGTCTTCTGCATAGCTACGGGAATTAAAATTGGGGTGTCAGGGACCTGCCAGGCTTTCAGGTGTAATGCAGACTTAGGTGACCAGCCTACCCTTCACATACAGTGTGTACTGTAGCGACTTTTAGGTGTAATCTAAATTTACGTGCCTGGATTCTCTACCGAAATTACGGAAATTACGGAAATTACACCGAAAATAACATGTTATACAGTGTACAGTGTTGCTCAATGCAATCCAGTCGCAGTCGCAGTCGCAGTCGCAGTCGCAGTCGCAGTCGCAGTTGCATCGCTCAAGTATGCGCCGGGCGTTGGGCAACCCTAGACCTACGAGCACTGGGCTGCAGAATTGTGCGGAATGAAGGGGGCAGAATCGATTCTGGCGATTCCTAAGAAAAAGTGGAAAGTGGAATGAGGTCTCATTCCGAGCGGAATGAAAATGTGCGGAGGGGCTTCGTGAAGTTCGTCGGTGCTGCATACCTCCACAACAAAACTTCAAACTTGAGTGACGCGACTGGATTTCATCAAGCAGGACTAAGTCTTATGATTCAGACAGGTTTTTGCAGCACGTACCTGCCATCGTGCAGAATCACCTGTTAATTAACCAGCTTCTTTCTGTTATCCAGGATCATTGATGTCCAGACGAACTCTGAAACTGTGCAGAGACAAGAATGCAAAAAAATACACGTGTACATGCACAGGCATGTACGCACACACACACACACACACGCACGCACGCACGCACGCACGCACGCACGCACGCACGCACGCACGCACGCACGCACGCACGCACACGCACACGCACACGCACACGCACACGCACACGCACACGCACACGCACACGCACACGCACACGCACACGCACACGCACACGCACACATTGAGACTAGGCATGCATGTACGAGTACAAGTGTAGAAACATGAAAAAACCACTTCACCATACTCAGTGCGTGTGAAGGTGGACACGTAGCAACACACCCACACAGTTCTACAGGCTGCTGCTGTTGGAACACAAGCCAACACCGGTGTACACATGCTGGTTAATACTCTACAATCTACGCAGGGCCCTTGCAGCAACCCCTCACCAGGCTACACCCATCCCGCCCACCCGAAACACAACAGCGGATACCCAGTCCGTCCCTCCAGGAATTCGCGATTCCACGGATGCAACAAATTTCGCGATTTTGGTCCAAACCCGCAATTTTCAGCAAAATCCGCGATTTCCCGCGTTTTTGTTGTTTTCTGCACAATATCTCACATTTTTATGCACTTTTCACGCAGTTCTTTCCATGATCCTGTAGGTTATTTGCACAGCACGACTCCCGAGTAGATATACGATGCAACAATTTTCGTGATTTGGCCCAAATTCGCAATTTTCTGCAAATAATTCCGCGAATTCCTGGCAAGTTCTGCATCATGCCGCACTTTTCGTCGCATTTTTTGTAACTTTCAGCCGCAATTTCTTGCGCAAGTTTTCGAGAGTTTTTCCCGCAAATTCCCGCAGGGACAGCCCAGTTCCCTGGGGATCATACATCAAGAGCTGTATGGTAGCACATACTGTCGCTGAAGCAGATACAAGCAAAACGATATCCACAGGTGGTTCATGCGTCATTGTGAAGCAGGGCCAGTTCTCTATTTGGAGTAGCACACATCTATTCTACTTACAGACCTCTCCACAGAGCGCGGTGGCGTGCAAGGGCCCACAGCCGCAAGTGATCACCAGGTGGCTATGTGCGGACAATATTGAAAAAAGGCTTCTTACTAGTTTTCGCTCAATATTTGTCAGCCTGGGAAGTTTCATTGATTGAGTATTGCACGAGAACTACTACTAGTTAGAAGGAAGCCTTTTTCATTGTCCTCAGAATCATATTTTTTCAAACACAATTCTTTATCACAAATTCAATAAGGTATTCATGATTTGGCGATCCAGCTTGTGCTTTGGGTTGTGCCTTTACAACTATTGGCCCCTCGTCGCTTATTTATAATTATTATTTTGTACACGTGTTAGCCCAAATCATCAATTTGCACCACTGACCGAGTTTGGGACGAGACGTTTTCGAGCAGCCAGCGGGCTGGTATCACCCCACGACCACTAGCAACAAACAGTTGAATGCTAGCGTCTCAACTCTCCGTCTCTCGCTCTGTCTGTCTCTACTTCAACAGCACTCTGTAAGGAGTGGAACTAGTCAGTATCGATCAACGTCCACCGAGTCGGTGGTCGCAATACCACATCCGTGACTGGACTGGCAGTAAACAAAGATACTACTAGCAAGTCATGTAGGTAACGATCACACACATGTATTAGCTCTAACAGTTACACAGCCTTCAACAGTCCACATTGTCATTGAGGAAAACAAACTCTAGAACTGGCTGTTGGCGGACTCTCGGTCATTTCTGCCACAGCGGACACAACTGCATGATAAAAGGCTATCTTCATTGGCAAGCATGGCCGGACTGTCCTCAAACCACCTTGCTGTTCGTGTCAGATTTTAGCGAGCACGCGTGACCATGGTGACCCAGCAAGTCTTCAAAGACCGACAGTATGGATAATGGGCGTATGCATGGTGGGATGTCATGACTCATGAGTCATGTAAATCTACACAGGTCAAATCTCTGAGGTTGCGTTTGTTCGGTGCCATTCCGCCAAAATTCCAAAGTCATTCCGCCGTGTTTTGATTCCGGAGCGTTTGTTTGATGCACTGGACAGCGTTTGTTTGGTGCAATTCCGATTCCGGTCGCGGAATGAAGGGGGCAGAATCGATTCTGGCGATTCCTAAGAAAAAGTGGAAAGTGGAATGACGTCTCGTTCCGAGCGGAATGAAAATGTGCGGAGGGGCTTCGTGAAGTTCGTCGTTGCTGCATACCTCCACAACAAAACTTCAAACGCGATTATCGATATACAGAAATGTTGGCGGACATCGTCCAGGGAATAGGCTGGTACTGTAACGTCGGGGACGGCATAGTAACTTGTTCGTGGTATTTTGACCCTTCGCTGCCTGAGAAAGTGTTCGCCCGGGATCGTTGATGAACTGGCAATATGCCCTCGCACCTCAGCTCTTCATCGTCGTTGAGCAGAGCCTCTAGATTCACAGAGAGGCAAGCCAGAACAAAGTGACCCAAAGAGGCACCGAGCCTGCCACTTCACTGTCTTCTTCTTACAACAGTGCATCGTCTCTGTCAAATAAACACGAGAGCTCGAGACGTTTCTGTGACTGATACGAGGTCGAATAGCATGATGAAGTAGCGGCCAAACGCCGCCTGCAGGCACCCTAGTTACGATCGCTCGTTGATCTACGCCGTGTTTGGCCGCTCCTTCATCATGACTGTCGTAGGGACATGCAGAAACTTACGGAAGCATTATCATGATTATAGCAACTGCCAGGACTGGCACGTAGTAGTCTTTTGTGCAAACAACATGTAGAGCTACTACACTGTAGACTAGTAATCATGGTAATACGTTTCCAAAGTGGCGCAAAACTTTTGCCAGATTCTCGAATCCATGCCAGCGCGTTTGTTTGCTACGCTCATTCCGATTCCGCGATGGGTACCGACGTCATTCCATGCCCATTCGGGAATGACCGAACAAATGCAACCGCAGCAGCCACACACAGCAAGCTACCGTCAGTGATTGCATCCAGCATGCGTGGCGCGATCTGGTATGCCCGGGGTCTACGACAGTAGATCTACGAGGCTACGTGCACTCAAACTCAAAGACGACGCTACTAGTACTACTACTAGTACTAGTACAGTAGTACACTGTAGTACACTGTAGTATGGCGCTAGCAGTACAGCAACCACGGAGTAGAATCGTACTTTTTGCTACTTGAAGTAAGTTGTACTGCGGAACTGGGTAACCGTGCAAACGACTCGGCCCGATTTGCGGTTGCCATGAGCAGCATCGGTTAGAGCTCCCTCCCGAGGCTCCATACTAGACTGTTTTCACAGCCATTTTTGCTCTCTCGGCTGTCTTCACAGCCTTTTTTGCATTCTCGACTGTTTTCACAGCCATTTTTGCTCTCTCGACTGTCTTCACAGCCATTTTTGCTCTCTCGACTGTTTTCACAGCCATTTTTGCTCGTTTTTCTTCCGGTGCTGTTGAGGTTGCACTCGAGAGAGTACTCGTAATTGTGTTTATTTTGCCCGTACAAGAGGCTTGGGAATCACGAAAAAAAAAAAGGTAACCGTGGTAACCGCTGACTACTGTCTGCGCTGCATGCACGTGCACTACACTAGTACTACTAGTATTACTTTTTGTAGTAGTACTGCAGTATACCGGGTATACCTGTATACCGGCGGTCGTACAACTACAAGCGAAATCGCTCACCGGTGCTTGTGAACAGTTACCATTGGAAACGTGTGTGTTTGTTGTGTGTTGACTACTAGTACTACTACTAGTACTAGTACTAGTACTAGCGTTGTGTGTTCGCTTGTACATGACTTGAACTTTTGAAGTAACTATTACTTAGTTGTACACATGTCATGTGTATGTTTCGGTGTGACCATGGGGACCAACTGATCAAGTAAGTACGTAACCAGTTAGTTGATGTGAGTGACTGTCGTTCTGACTTCACTACTACTACTAATACATGTAGTGACACATCACCATGCGCCACCATACACAACGACGTACAACTCGGCGCTCGGGTGCACGCGATGCTGTAGTCCTGTGAATGTAGACTAGGCAGTACTAGTAGTAGTAGTAGTAGTAGTAGTAGCAGCAGCCAGTACTAGTTGTAGTAGTAGGCTAGACTAGCCTAGCCAGCGGTCATGTATGATGACTGTGGTCTACTCGTGGAGTCGTGCGTTGAGGCCAAACATTTTGAATCTGCTTCGTGACAGAACTACAGCAATCATGCCCGTGCCATGGTCATAATCGAATGTTTGAAAGACGTTGAAGAGAACAAGTATTAGTTGCCTCGGTGTCCTAATCATTGAGACATTTGCTCCGGGAATATTCAGAGTTTCTATAGAACACTCAGTGGTACATGTTGTTCATATCGCTCAGGCCAGGTTCCAGTGTGGCAATCCTTGGGCTCAGGCCAGGTTCCAGTGTGGCAATCCTTGCGCTCAGGCCAGGTTCCAGTGTGGCAATCCTTGCGCTCAGGCCAGGTTCCAGTGTGGCAATCCTTGCGCTCAGGCCAGGTTCCAGTGTGGCAATCCTTGCGCTCAGGCCAGGTTCCAGTGTGGCAATCCTTGGGCTCAGGCCAGGTTCCAGTGTGGCAATCCTTGCGCTCAGGCCAGGTTCCAGTGTGGTAATCCTTGCGCTCAGGTCAGGTTCCAGTGTGGCAATCCTTGGGCTCAGGTCAGGTTCCAGTGTGGCAATCCTTGGGCTGCTTGTTGTAGTTTTCAAGCTAACGCCAGCAACGGAAAACCCATGAGTGGATAGTTTGCAGTCGACTAGTCACTACTGCCAGTACTGGTCTGTAGGTCGTCTTCGGGTGTGGTGACGTGTGTGGAGAGTATTGGAGGACGGGTACCGGGTAGTGATTGCTTCCCAATCTACCAGGCAGCACCTGCTGCTGCTGCTGCTAGCGCTGCTGCTGCTGTAATTCCTATTATCTGTTACCCAGAGCTTGGAACGTAGCTGTGTCACTGTGTATCGTGAGTAGTTACACTCCACACCAGACCATTGCACATTCTTGCCGGCGATTTGTTCCAGTCGTCAGCAGTTCACCGTGTAATATGGAAGGTGAACGCTACGCTTTCCTCGTGGAGTGGTATGATTCGCTAGCGGGCATAGTGCGACGCTACAACTTCCTCTTCTATCCTAAAGATAACAGCGTGGAAATGGTGAGTTGCTCACTTGGTGGCACAATCGAGTGTACATGTACATAACCTCGATACTCTGAGACTCTTGGTTATACAAATGCATGCTGTCTTGTCCCATGTTGTAATATTGGTGGTACAACCCAGTGTACATAACCTCGGTACTCTGTGACTCTTGGTTACACAAATGCATGCTGTCTTGTCCCATGTTGTAATATTGGTGGTACAACCCAGTTTATATAACCTCGGTACTCTGTGACTCTTGGTTATACAAATGCATGCTGTCTTGTCCCATGTTGTAATAACACGGTTCTGTTCTTGAGCATACCATTGAAGGGCATCATGTTTCCTGGAACCCAGACATGCTCAGAATGTACTATATCCATACAAGTGAGCATGGATCTAACACCAACCCGCGCATGACATACACTCCCCGCATGACATACACTCCCCCGCATGACATACACTCCCGAGCATGACATACACTCCCCAGCACGCGCCCGTGCGCTTGCACACACACGCGATTGCACACAGCCTTAGTAATACCCATCACCACTCTCATCCCCCCACCCTTACACACAGAACACAGCCTTAGTAATACCCATCACCACTCTCATCCCCCACCCTTACACACAGAACACAGCCTTAGTAATACCCATCACCACTCTCATCCCCCACCCTTACACACAGAACACAGCCTTAGTAATACCCATCACCACTCTCATCCCCCCACCCTTACACACAGAACACAGCCTTAGTAATACCCATCACCACTCTCATCCCCCCCCCCCCCCCATACCCTTACACACAGAACACAGCCTTAGTAATACCCATCACCACTCTCATCCCCCCACCCTTACACACAGAACACAGCCTTAGTAATACCCATCACCACTCTCATCCCCCCACCCTTACACACAGAACACAGCCTTAGTAATACCCATCACCACTCTCATCCCCCCCCCCCCCCCACACCCTTACACACAGAACACAGCCTTAGTAATACCCATCACCACTCTCATCCCCCCACCCTTACACACAGAACACAGTCTTAGTAATACCCATCACCACTCTCATCCCCCCACCCTTACACACAGAACACAGCCTTAGTAATACCCATCACCACTCTCATCCCCCCACCCTTACACACAGAACACAGTCTTAGTAATACCCATCATCACTCTCATCCCCCCACCCTTACACACAGAACACAGCCTTAGTAATACCCATCACCACTCTCATCCCCCTACCCTTACGCACAGAACACAGCCTTAGTAATACCCATCACCACTCTCATCCCCCCACCCTTACACACAGAACACAGTCTTAGTAATACCCATCACCACTCTCATCCCCCCACCCTTACACACAGAACACAGCCTTAGTAATACCCATCACCACTCTCATCCCCCCACCCTTACACACAGAACACAGTCTTAGTAATACCCATCACCACTCTCATCCCCCCACCCTTACACACAGAACACAGCCTTAGTAATACCCATCACCACTCGCATCCCCGTGTTATGTATCCCATATACAGCATTCACTATAATTATATTTTCGTCCGGGACAATATTAGTTTGATTCGGCTTGCTGTAAGACGGTTGCCTACAAAGCATGAAACTCCGGATCGCATCATATCCTGGTTTCTGCCTTTGTGTCCGTTTGTGTGTGTGTGTGTGTGTGTGTGTGTGTGTGTGTGTGTGTGTGTGTGTGTGTGTGTGTGTGTGTGTGTATGTGTACTCCAATGTCACTTCAAGGTACCAGTGCAAGGTACCAGTGCATATAGTGTCTGCTTCTATCAAAGCAGCGTGCTGTCTATACTGGTTACCATGGTTACCCCAGCAAGTGTAGGGTGTGCATAGGCAACTAACTGTCTTGGCCGTTTTATGCCGATGTACTCCGTGTGGTGTAGACCAGGTGTGCACTGGTGGTCGACCCACATGGCTTCGCCAGTTGTGTGGATTAGACAGTTATCTGGTGCAAGTCTTGATCTGTCTCATTCAGATCTTGTTCGCTATCGTTGCTATAAGAGAAAATCTGTGGGTGCACATCCAGTGCATTTGCAGATTTGCTTGCTTCTCTTGCGACGGGCGTATACATTATGGTATGTGTGTGTGTGTGTGTGTGTGTGTGTGTGTGTGTGTGTGTGTGTGTGTGTGTGTGTGTGTGTGTGTGTGTGTGTGTGCATTTGAGCCTTATTTTGTCTATCTACCTGCCTGACTGGCTGCCTGCCTGTCTTTCTACCTATCTCTCTGTCTGTCTGGCTGTCGTTCTGGCTTTCTGTTTGTCTGTCTGCTGTTCTGTGTTTCTGTCTATCGCCTTGTGCAAAAATTGTAGATTGATGTGAAAAACAAGCGCATATTCCTGAAACGTACCAAGGAGGAGTCTATCAGGCTGGATCAGTGCTACATTGGTTCATCAGTTAATCTACATGGTCGACAGGTACGTACTGCACAGTCAGTGGTCATGTATACAGAGTACAGTCAGTGGTCATGTATACAGAGTGCAGTCAGTGGTCATGTATACAGAGTACAGTCAGTGGTCATGTATACAGAGTGCAGTCAGTGGTCATGTATACAGAGTACAGTCAGTGGTCATGTATACAGAGTACAGTCAGTGGTCATGTATACAGAGTACAGTCAGTGGTCATGTATACAGAGTACAGTCAGTGGTCATGTATACAGAGTACAGTCAGTGGTCATGTATACAGAGTACAGTCAGTGGTCATGTATACAGAGTACAGTCAGTGGTCATGCAACTGTATAATATGTACAAATTTTGGTTTGGAATTAACTTTCGATATATTCGTCAGGGGGCTGAAAATAACTAAAGTTTCTACTAAACAAATTCTGTACGTTCGGGGCAACAAACCTCGACCAAAAACGAAATTCAATACGTAACGAACCTGCTGATGGAGTAATGTAAGTAAGTATTTTCTAAATGAAATTTTGTATTTTATACAGTACGGAGCACAGTGATGTTGTCATCTCGTTTCTACCACAGGGAATTTCAATTTGTGTTGGTTTTGTGGACGTAACTTATTGTCTGTCTATCTGTCTGTGTGTCCTCTTCATTGTCTGTGTGGTTGGGTGAATATGTGTGTGTTTGTGAGTGTGTGTGTGTGTGTGTGTGTGTGTGTGTGTGTGTGTGTGTGTGTATATGCGTCTCCTTTGGTGTGTGTTTGTGTGTGTTTTCTTCCATGGGATCCTTGCCGATGGCTGTCAACCGCGGTACCTAGCTGAAGTTTGTAGAGTACTCTGACACTTTCACCAAGACTAAACTCTCCATGGCGAAAGAAAAGTAAGACGAACAAACGATGTTGAGGCAATAACTTCAGAGCAGCAATACAAATGGGATGAATTCTGCCGTGATCACCACTCATCAACGAAGTCATGAAGGTTTTCCAAAGCGGATGTTGAGTGCGTTGATTTGTGGTAATGACGGTAGAATTTATCCCATTTATTGGTATTTTTAAAGTAAGATGCAGCTCCTAAACGGTGGGGAAGGATAGATCAGATCCACCGACCATAGGCCAAAGGAGCCTGATCATGGGGTGGTGGCGTCCCACGGAAGCGGAAAGGTGGTTCTTGACGGGAAGTTGTACGACTCCTTGTTCTTGACCTGCCTGGTACGCGAACCCGTCAATTTTTTATTTTTTATATTTTGTTTAAGTAAGACGAAGCATATCTTTCGTCAACCACCACACCACAACTGCGCTCTGCAGCCGACCTCGACACATTGCCACAGCTTACCATCAGCAAGCGACGCATCCATGGCATTGGTACCCGGTTCCTTGGTACTGCTATTTTCAGTACAGAACAGAACAACAAGTCTGTATTACGCTCTGCCTCCGCCGTGTTGAGCACTGTCAGCACACTGGGTCCACCCTCGGGCTATTTTCAGTATAAAACTCTCGTCAGTGACCGTAGATATTGCAGAATGGCTAAGATAGTGAAAATTACCCTTGTCAGTGTACCAAAGGGGTAAGCATAATGTGCACGCCTGAGGAAGAATAGGGCCAAGCAAAATGACCAAATGCGAAACACTGAAAACAAAGCGGATAATGTACAGACGTGATAATATGAGTTGATGGTGCTAACAGCCGGGTGTAAATTTTCGATAGACGAGCCCATGGCCCGTCGAGCGATATTCTGTGAACGTGTGTGTTTTCAACACTGCTACTTTATTGCTAAGCTACGGCAGTGTCATGGAAACTGAACAATGCCTGTCATAGGATGTGATGAGCCGAGGGTGTGGTGCGGGAGTGGACGCAGTGCATGCCTCGGGGGCCTCGGGGGTTGCTACTTGCTATATGCTGTGCTGTCTATCAAATTCACACCTGACTATTAGCACTATCAACTCATATCATTACGTCTGTACATTGTCCCCAGTTTAGTTTTTCACACTGTTTTGCATTTGGTCATTTTGCTTCGCCTTGGGGCGCGCTCGGTTGGTAGGACCTAGAACAGGATTCACCAGAACAGCGCATTTGGTTGGGACTGCACCTGTTCTGGGTCAGCCACAACACGTTATTCTTGCTTCGGCCTCGAGGCCGGAGCAGACCGAGCAGTTTCACTTTTTCACAGTGAAACCTAGCGGGAACATAGATTTTGATCCCGAATGATCACGTGCATGCGTGCTTGGGTTGGACTCGTCGTACCGTACAAAGTGACCATGGTGACCCATACACATTTTGAAGAATGCACCAAGTTTGGCATATTTTTCACAAAAATGTGCTCTGTTTCTGGAGTACCGTTTGGTTGGCGTGAAGCTGCTCTATGTGTGCCAGCTGTTCCATCCTGTTCAAGATCGTACCAAACGCAACCAAACGCACCCCTATTCTTTGTGCCTCAGGCGTGCGCATTATGCTTACCGCTTCGGTACAAAACGGTGATTTTCACTATCTTAGCCATTCTACAATATCTACGGTCACTGGTGATACTTATTTTTATACTCGAAACAGCTGTATAAAGGAACAGAGTACCAAAGGATGTGTCGCTTTGCTGGTGGTGTGCTGTGGCAATATTGTGTCGAGGTCGGCTAGAGAGCGTATTTCTGGTGTGATGCTGTGATGTGGCAATCTCGTGTCGAGGTTGGCTAGAGAGCGTATTTCTGGTGTGGTGGTGTGCTGTGGCAACCTGTCGAGGTCGGCTAGAGAGCGAAGTTCTGGTGTGGTGGTGTGCTGCGGCAACGTGTCAAGGTCGGCTAGAGAGCGTAGTTCTGGTGTGGTGGTGTGCTGACCAATATGCACAGGGCCAAATGCTGCTGCTTACCCTTGATAATACAAAGCATCACCACACCAAATTATCACACCTGCCATCCCCGTCTCTTTGGTTGTAAATCATTATATCCACACTAGCTTGTCCAGCTTGCCGTGGACCTCTCTTCTATCACCAGTGTGCACAAGCAAACATGTGCCTTTGTAGTGAAGTATATCAGCCATAGCCAGCATATGCTACACTGTGTATGTCTCATCGACACCAATTTCTTCACGGAATTTTCTCCTCTGGGATGTTTGGCAACTACTACCTACGTCCTTCTCCCTCTCATTCTCCTCCTTCTCCTCCTGGTTCTTTCTGATTTATATATTTGAAATCCTCGGTCGCGGAAGTGAGCAGTCAGCCATACTTCAACCAGTATGACAGTACTCTAGTTGTGAGCATGTCTTCTCCAAAATATCTGTTTTCTCACCCGGTCGGTCCCATCACATCAGAGGAGAATTGAATGAAATCTGGAATGATACTGAATAAACTGATTGTGTTTTGTTGTATTCCCTGCTTGAATTCTCTTGCAGGACTGTGGTGATATTCAAGCCGGACATCATGGAAAAAATGCGTAAGCAACATGTTGTCTAACCTACCCGAACACCCACTCAGTTACCACCATCACCTCCCATAATGGTTGTATTCTGTAGGTGGGATGGTTGAGTGAGTTCGGTCCGTCGGTCAAACAGCACATGCACCGTTCAAACAGTGCACCGGGGTTTCCCCAGGGACCGTACAACCAGTGCATGGGGGTTTCCCCAGCTACCATACGAACAGTGCACGGGGTATCCCCAGGGAAAGAGCATGTGTGCTCACCACTTCCCTTTGAGTTCTGAAGCTGTAGGGTGCTTCACCCCTACAGTACTTTCGGCCACCGAAGAATGGAGCGCTGAAGAACGAAGCGCCGAAGAATGGAACGCTGAAGAATGGAGCGCCGAAGAACGAAGCGCTGAAGAATGGAGCACTGAAGAATTGAACGCCGAAGAATGGAGCGCCGAAGAATGGAGCGCCGAAGAACGGAGCGCCAAAGAACGACCAGACTAGATATAATTTTACCAAGCACAGCATGCCAGTGTATAACTGTGATTCAACTGAACATGAAATTATAAACGATCTAGACTAGGAGACTACCCTAGGAGGCTACTCCCCCCCCCCCTCCCCCCCCCCCCCAACCCCCACCTCCCCCACCCCCCCCCCCTTCCCCAGTTCTTTGGTGACCAACACTACTGCATTACATACTGTACGACTTTTCGAATTATCGAATATTCAAATGTTTCAAATATTCAAATGCTTCTAGCTGCATTCGAATACTATTCCCGGTCTCGGTATTCTAGAATGTTGGAATACTTCAACTGTTCCTTGCGTCACTAGACTCCAAAGATTGTGTCATAGAGTTATACACGAGGTCGTTGCTGAGATTGACTGTAATTGTGTGTGTGTAATGTGGTGTATAGTTATTACCAAGTAATCTCACCGCTGTAGGAGCTGCATAGGAGCCTTGATCCTTGAAGGGTGGTGGCATTCCTGCGGATGCAGAAAACTCGGCCTCTAGCTGAGTCTCACGCGAACCGTGAATTTCCGTTGTTATTTTTTTTATGTGGGGATCATCCTGATCCGACCGCTCGCTAGCAGCTTTCTGAGTGAAGTTAGTGATGTGTGTGCGTGTGGAGGGGGGGGGGGAAGTGCGTGTGTGTGTGTGTGTGTGTGTGTGTGTGTATGACCTGTGTTGTACAAGCTTTCTCCGTGTGGCCTTTCTGAACATGAGATATACATGTAAGGTGTACAAGCTTTCTGGGTGGCAGCAGCCTGTGTGGAAGCCTGTGTGGCAGCCTGTGTGGCAGCCTGTGTGGCAGCCTGTGTGATGTTTGACCTGAACGCTCTATGATCTAAGCCATCCAAGCTTTCTGACCGGTCTAAGCTTTCTCAGAGGCGTGTTAACTGTGTGATTGAAGTGATTCAAGTGATCTGAGCCAACCGTGGCTTCCAGTTGACCCTATCTTGTTCCGTTGAGACTTGTGTAGAAATGATTTCATGGGCAAAGTGCTGACTTTTTTTAATGTTTTAATTTCTATCTCAGCAGAGCGAATCTGTGCAGGAAAATAGATATAAATATATCCAGAAAAAGCCTTCCTTGTCTTCGCGTTTCCTACGTAATTGTTTTCAGCTGAAAACATGCTGCCCTTGTGCTCCTTGTCTTCGCGTTTCCTACGTAATTGTTTTCAGCTGAAAACATGCTGCCCTAGTGCTCCTTGTCTTCTCGTTTCCTACGTAATTGTTTTCAGCTGAAAACATGCTGCCCTAGTGCTAACACTTGTTATCCTCTAGAACTGGATTCTGGACTTAGTTTTGTGCGATTTGATCCTTGCAGGGCGGTGGCGTTTCTACGGATGCGGAAAATCAGTCTGACTTGTTCTCATGTGAAATGTGAATTTGGTGGTGTTTTTCTGCCTGCAGCTCTCCTGCTTGAGATTCTCTGCACTGAAGGATTTCAGATCTGTGATATGAAGACAGTGGTGTTGAGCAAGTAAGTACAGAACCTTCCCAGTGCATAGCGGACTCAGCAGAGGACTTCCATGTTGTTGCCCGTTGTCTGATGATTGCCTAACGGAGGTATGAAACTCAGAGTTACAACCAACCTGAACGTCCTCCGCTGAGTCTGCTAGGTACTAAGCTCTGTCTCTGACATTGGAGAGGTTAAGGTGAGCGTTATTTCTGATGTGACGCGAAAGTTCAGCTCGCGTTATTTGGCTCGCGCGTCGAAAAACAACGTGACCGGCAGCTCACGTCAAAATTTGGAGTGTTACCCGCAATTTGACGTGAAATTGCTCGTCAGGTCAGAAATAACGTGAATCTTAACCTCTCTATTGAGCACTCTCTGCAGGTCGGAGATCAACGTATTTGGACATTGCCAGTCTCTATGTTATTGTACATAGTAACTGGAATTGAGTATCAGGAGAAAAGGCAAAACCCAACCTTTCCAATAAAATTACTGTGTGCACCAGTGAGTCATAGCAGCGGTGGGGGGGGGGTCACACATAATAGCACCCGAAAAATCGGCATGAACCATGGTCTATGCCACTTTTTATACCACTCCCGGCCTTGACCTGCTGCCCCCTAAGGTGATTCAGTCCGGCGATGCAACATGCGAGAGTTTATCAATCTGTCCTAGCTCAGCAGCAGCTTGAAAGGGCATCTGGCGGTGGATAGCAACATGCGTTTAGCTTTGCAGTCACCAATGTTTTCTCCTACTGTAGCGGACATTGAAATGCAGTCGATGGACTGGGGCCGGCGCCCTCAGCGCGTACAGAACGCTGCGTGCATGCAGTGCACATTTTGATCCGATGCGCACACCGCGCTGCAGCGCAGAAATGTATGTGTGTACCGCTTATCCACGGCTGCATGGCCATCGCCCTGGGGCCGCTAGATGTTCGACCGGATTTCCACGTTGGTTGTGGGATGACCGTGAATTCGGGACTATCATTGCTTTGCTAGCTCTGTAGTGTGCCCGGAAAATTTTTGGGCACCCTACTATTCCTGGTCCCCCCCCCCCCCATCCCAACTCTCTTTCTCCCCCCCCCCCTCCCTATCCATCTAATGTGTATCTGCAATCCAACTCTCTTTCTCCCCCCCCCCCCCCTCCCTATCCATCTAATGTGTATGTGCAATCCATGTTGAAGTTACAGAACGGTGTAGGTGTACACAGGTGTGGGATTAATCAATTAATGCATGTACTAAAAAACAGTGTGTATGGTTTATGCATGTGTGTGTGTGTGTGTGTGTGTGTGTGTGTGTGTATGTGTGTGTGTGTGTGTGTGTGTGTGTGTGTTTGTGTGAATGTCAATGTCCGTGAATGATTTTTTGTTTTTCGTTGTTGTGTCCAGGTCTGCGGCTGAAGAGTTTTATCGCGAGCATAGTGCTAAACCATTTTTCAGGTTAGTACTCCCCTGGTAGCGTCCGTTCAGACCGGCATTGTAGACAAGCAAGGGACGTGGCCTTTGTGCAAACACTTGGGGTAGGATTGGCAGGTGTTGGTGTTATGATACTGGGAAGAATGTGATCAGGGAAATCCTGTGTTATAGAAGGTTATCAGTGAAACGCCCATGTGTTGCTTATTGCTGAACAAACTTCAGCGTGTGATGATCTTATTGACACTAGGTGTCTCAGTGCCTACTCCAGTGCCTACTCTAGGATTTCAAATCACTTGGGTACACGTGGACCTGCCACAACTTGTCCAACCGGGTCAGAGCTGGGTACGTTCAAGTGCAGCTAACCTACTGCATGTGCATCAGGGAGCAGTAAATATTTTAGGACCTCCGATGTATACGTGTATGTAGCATACCAGTATGTACATGTATTTCCAGCGGGTGACCTGGTTAGTGCTCATTTTTCAAATGGGTCCAAGTACCCGCAACCGGATCCAAATACCCCCAACCAGGTCCAAGTACCCACAACCGGGTCCAAATACCCCCAACCGGGTCAAAATACCCCTAACCGGGTCCAAGTACCCTCCAACCGGGTTAAAATACCCTCCAACCTGGTCCAAGTACCCTCCAACCGGGTCAAAGTACCCCCAGCTGGGTCCAAGTACCCGCAACCGGGCCGCTGACTCGGCTGACCCGGCTCTGTAGTAGACAGTATGTACTAGTATTGGTATGTAACAGTTTGTATGTGAATACAGGAAGGCATTACAAAGTGCAGAGTCCGTTTCTCACATGTCTTACTCATTCCTATTTGGATTATTTATTCTAAGAGTTAGGATATTAAAGGGGTGAAGAGGGGTTCTCAAATCTTCGGCAATCCAGAAAAGGCTATGACAACCTCTTCCCTACTGTTGTTGTTGTTGTTGTTTGGCTTTATTTAAAGTGGAGTTCCAAAACAGGTACTGCATTTTCAAAACTGCATAATTTGTGTTCTCAATTGGTTATATAGCCATATGAGTGTTTTTCGACAGTTGTCCAGGCAAGGAAGGAAGGAAATTTATCACAAATCCCCAGGCTAATGTGTGAATTTTTCGTGAAGTAGAATTGAAACTTTCTACTCTTCCTGTTCTTGCAATGTTCTGTTGTTGCCCTAGGCATTAAAATCCTTTCGTGGTTCTCCTGTCCTGCCGTTACTGCTGCTCCTGCTGCTGCTGCAACTACTGCTGTTGCTGTTGCTGGTTCTTCTGCTGCTGCTGTTTATGCTTCTGTTGCTGCTGCTGCAGCTACTGCTGTTGCTGTTGCTGGTTCTTCTGCTGCTGCTGGTTCTTTTGATGCTGGTTACGGTGTTTGTTGTAATGATGGTGTTACTGTTGTCACCCCGCAAGTGCAGAACTCTGGTATCGTTCATGACGGAAGGACCAATCATGGCGCTCAGCTTACTAGCCGACAATGCCGTCAGCAGATGGAGAGCACTTATTGGTGAGTTCTACTATTTAAAACAAAAACCAAAACAAAAACAGGGAAATTCATATCCAATCTTTGAGTATTGCCAGCAACATCGGTGGAGGTGCTTACTAAAGCCTTACTCTGGGCATATCTTGCTTGATTTTCACCGTGCCCAGCTTTGTGTATGTGTGTGTGTGTGTGTGTGTGTGTGTGTGCAGGGGTACCTGCAGTTGGATCCCGGGACGGATACCCTGATGCCGTCAATCCTTTTTCTGCACCTTGTCCTCACCCACTTACTGAGGTGTGGTGAGCCCATAAGTGGGATCATTCCAAGTCCACCCTAGTTTGGGGATTTCAGGGGGTGTCGGCCGTTGGGTGGTTCAATGGCCAATTGAGTCATCTTTCCAAGATTCCTTTTGAGTCTCTCTCCCCTCTCCCGGGGAGACCCACGTGACCAGTTTTGGCAGTGAGCAAGTACAAGTACAAGTACAAGTGTGTGTGTGTGTGTGTGTGTGTGTGTGTGTGTGCGTGTGTGCGTGTGTGTGTGTGTGTGTGTGTGTGTGTGAGTGTGGGTGTGTGTGTGTTTGTGTTTGTGTTTATCTGTGGTTGGTATTCATGACCAGGACCAACAAACTCGGCTGATGCCAGGTCTCAAGCTCCGGATAGTCTCAGAGCAAGGTTTGGCACAGGTAAGCTAGTTTTAAAGACTGTGGTTTACAATTTTCTTTGACTGTTGGTTAACCTTTGCAAGTAATTGAAGCAGTAATCAATCCACTGAAGTCGATCACGTAATACTATGCAGTGATTATAGCGAAGGGCAAGTGGCAACATTGGCAGTTGACTTTCAAATCAGTCGGCATATCGTATTCTATTGCAGTGAGTTGTTTTCAGTCAATACTCAATTTTCTCTTTGTTCCTATTTCTCTGCTTCTTTATTTCTATATGCCTGCCAGTGTCGTATTCTGTTCAACATTTTCTATCCATGCATTTTGAAACAAAATAATTCTGCAGTCATTATTCCGACACAGAATGCAAAGAAAGACTATAGGTTTCCAAGAACGTTTCTTGTTACGATTTTCGGTTCCACACTTGGAACTGATGATCGTCACAGAAAAATAAAATACTTGTCGCCGAGTTTGTAATTTTCGCTTCGTAGAGAAGGAGAAGCCGTAACTGATTTTTCCGCTTGGCCACTGCTGTGCCTGTACTGTCGGTCGCCTTGGAAACCTATATTATACCCACCGTGCCTTTTGTGTCGAGATAACGTAGATCATTTGTATCCATGTAATATTCTCAAGGTTTGTATTATTTTTTCCTGTTTTGAAGATCAAACTCGCAATGCCTGTCATGGATCAGATTCACTAGCATCGGCTGAAAGAGTAAGTTTGTGTTCCCTTAGTGTTCCCCCATCACTCTTATCGGCTTAAAGAGTAAGTTAGTCTTCCCTTAGTGTTCCCCCCCCCCCCCCCCACTCTTACTGAGATAGAGTGATGTTGATTTCTGCACAGGACGTAGAAAACACGCCATTCAGTATGTGCACATCACTGTGATGCCTACACCAATGTATAGTGAAATCTTTCTAAGACGACCGCTCAAGGGACCTTGAAAACGTCGTCTCTGTATCCAGGGTTATTCGACTGGAAATAGCATCCCTGGGTCCTGGTGGTAATGGTCTTCCAGGACAGGTGGTCACTATGGCTGAAACGATCATTCAATAACTCCTAACGATCAACCAATATCATTAACGATCGATATATTGGTTTTATCGATTCTTGTCAGCTCTATCGAACACCAGTTTATGAAGAAATTCTATGATACCTTTGCTACGTTAGAAATTTGTGGCACCGCACTGTTGACATCTGTAGATATCTGGCTCGTTTTATCAACATGAACTACTCAAGTAGAGAGCTTCATGTTGTTTCTAGAGCGAAGAATCTTGTCGTCACCCTCTGGCAACTGCTCTCATCTCTGACTTGTCCCACGAATGAACTGAAAAGGCAACGTCTTCTCTCCCGATCTCTTTCAAAGACACAAATCAATTTTACTGCACTTGAAAGTACATTATTGTACTCGTATCCACTATCGGATGGAGTGCAAGGGCTAGAATACTGTCACTAATATGCATGCATAAAAATTGTTAGCACTCGTTTTCAACACTAACGATTATCGATTGCACTCGTTTTCAACACTAACGATTATCGATTGCACTCTTAAAGGGGAAGTCCGGTGAAAAATTTAAATTTCAGGGTTGGTAGAGTTTCGGCCGCTGAGTCGAATGGTGTTGGTCCCACGTGTCTCCGACAAAGCGTTCTCAAGATATTTCCGTTTGAAAAACTGAGTTTCGGGGGCCGCGCCATGACGTCATGCGGCCGCGCCACCCTCCGCAACGTCATAGCGTGCAGCTAGGTCAAAAGGGGTGCGTGAAAGCAATAGTGTCAGTGCTATTTCAAATGATTTGGCGACCCATACTGCCATAGTAGGTGGTGCAAGCGACTCCGAAGACGTAACTCCTTGTGAGAGTGAGGATGCAGCCATGGCTGACCTTCATGAGTTCGGTCTGGGGCTGAGAACCTCGGTATTCAGCTGAAGAAATGGCCGCGCGGGCCGGTCAAGAGTGAGCGCTACTGAGTTTCCGACTGATGAAGAAGCAGCAGCTATTGCAGACGAGGCTGATATAATTATCAGATCGCTGGAGAGCAGAGTCGCCAAAATGGAGAAGAGTGATGCGAGTGCTCTAAATGGTAATCCATACCGATTCGCTTAGACTCCAGTAGCCTGCCACATGGTGATGTTTTGGTGCGAACTTGGGCATATTTCGGACTACTTAATTGGAGAACAGTGCAGGCTCTTTGAACCATGGGCACGACTCTTCGCTTGCAACGCTACGGGATCTGAAAGTTCTAGGTCCGGGAACTGTTCGCTGTTTTGTCACTTGTCACGGTTGTTGCACTCATAGCTGTAGCATAAAATAATGAGGCAGGAGCGGAAAACTAAAATTTTCTTTCTCAAAGCACAACCACCGGCAAGGAGAAACGCTCGTTCTCTGACTTCTGTACAATACGACTGATACGAGTGTAGTACATGACAAGTCCGTGTGTTGACTAGTCTTCTGAGTCTTGTGACTCGAGTCTTGTTGTACTACCGGTACTACCCCAGCACGGCAGTGCGGGAGTACTAGTTCCGTGTGTGATGAGTTTGTTGACTACACTACATGTATACAGCTAGCATGCACGCAGTGCATTGCTAGAGCCGTAGGCCAATGCATGCCTACGGAAAAAGTTCAACTCGGAAACGGCTAAAATACGGTACAACCTCGAGGTTTACCGAGCTGAGAATCACAGGGTACGTAGTGGTTGTAACACTGAATCGAATGGTCTTGGTCCGAAGAAGCTGCGACAAACGGTTCCCCAATCGAACGCGCTCCGAATATGGCCGTTTTGTACACATCTAGATGGTGTGGCTACCTGACTGCACACTGTGACGTCATCACCTGGATTTGGGTGAGGCGCGCTTAAATTCGCACATGTTCGATTGGGCGTATCTGACGAACCATAGGCCGCAGCCTCCTCGGACAAAGACCATTCGACTCAGCGCCCCGAACTCTACGGACTGTGAAATTTAAATTTTTCACCGGACTTCCCCTTTAACGATCGATATGCGAGTTATCGGTATAATTGTTTCAGCCCTAGTGGTCACCTTATCCGAGTGGTCACCTTATCAGAGTGGTCACCTTATCAGAGTGGTCGCCTTATCCGAGTGGTCACCTTATCAGAGTGGTCACCTTATCAGAGTGGTCAACTTATCCGAGTCGTCACCTTATCCGAGTGGTCATCTTATCAGAGTGGTCGCCTTATCCGAGTGGTCGCCTTATCCGAGTGGTCACCTTATCAGAGTGGTCACCTTATCCGAGTGGTCACCTTACCCGAGTGGTCGCCTTATCCGAGTGGTCGCCTTATCCGAGTGGTCGCCTTATCCGAGTGGTCACCTTATCCGAGTGGTCACCTTATCCGAGTGGTCACCTTATCCGAGTGGTCACCTTATCCGAGTGGTCACCTTGACAATTGGAAATTGTTTGTGCATGAGTGTGTTTACGGTACTGATGTATGTACATGAGTGTGCATACATCATGTGTGTATGTACATGAGTGTGCATACATCATGTGTGTATGTACATGAGTGTGCATACATCATGTGTGTATGTACATGAGTGTGCATACATCATGTGTGTATGTACATGAGTGTGCATACATCATGTGTGTATGTACATGAGTGTGCATACATCATGTGTGTATGTACATGAGTGTGCATACATCAGGTGTGTATGTACATGAGTGTGCATACATCAGGTGTGTATGTACATGAGTGTGCATACATCATGTGTGTATGTGCATGAGTGTGCATACATCAGGTGTGTATGTACGGGAGTGTGCATACATCATGTGTGTATGTACATGAGTGTGCATACATCAGGTGTGTATGTACATGAGTGTGCATACATCATGTGTGTATGTGCATGAGTG